GACAAGGTGAAATATCTATTGATGTGCCCTTGAGCAAGGCACTTAACCTTAATTGCTCCAGGGTGGCATACCCTGGCCGTGACTTCTCTCCGAGGGTGTCTCAGGGAGAATGTGTGCCTTCAGAAAGTATTCACACCCCTTGACTTTTTCCACAATACCCCATGATGTCAAAGTGGAATTGTGTTTTTCAAAAATGTAAAGCTGGAATGTCTTGAGTTAATAAGTATTCAACCCCTTTCTTATGGCAAGTCTAAATAAGTTCAGGAGTAAAGATTTGCTTAACAAGTCACATAATAAGTTGCATGGACTCACTCTGTCTGCAATAATGTGTTTTGCATGAATTTTGAATGTCTACCTCATCTCTGTACCCCACACGCAATTATCTGTAAGGTCCCTCAGTCGAACAGTGAATTTCAAACACAGATTCAACCACAAAGACCAGGGAGGTTTTCCAATGCCTCGCAAAGAAGGGCGATGGGTAAAAAAAAAGAAGCATACATTGAATATCTCTTTGAGAATAGTGAAGTTATCAATACACCTAGTCACTACAAAGATACAGGTGTCCTTCCTAACTCAGTTGCCGGAGAGAAAGGAAACCGCTCAGGGATTTCACCATGAAAAGAGTGAAAAGAAGGAATCCTGTACAGAATGAAAGTATTCCAAAACATGCATCCTGTTTGCAATAAGGCACTAAAGTAAAACTCCAGGGTCGCCATTGAATGGCAGACCCTGGCTGTGACCCCACTCTCCGAGGGTATCTCAAGAAAAATTGGATATGCAAAAAACACTGGACAAATTTAAGCACCAAATTATTATAGCTGCCAAGCTCAGCAGTGCTTCTCCTGTAGTAGCCAATGACATCGACCCTGGTAAATGATTCCGCATGCTTCCCAGCCGGAAGAGTTCGTGCATATATTAGGATTACATATTGTGATGTTATGACGACATTTTGTGACGTTTTTGTTCGTTTGGGACTTCGTGAGGTTTTTTTCAGGCTGTTCAGGAGCACAACATTTTTTCTAGAGGCAAGCAGAAGTGGGTAGCCGAAGTCTACGCCCCTTCGTCGGTGTTTGGTCAACAGAAGGGATTCTTCAATAAAGTATTTGTTGTCATTCAACGAGAGACGACTCGTTTTCATGCAGAAGTTTTCATTGAGAAATATTGCACTAAACATCTTAGTTAAATTGCGTGACTAAGACCTCCTCAGCAAAAACGTCAAAATTAATGACAGATTTCTTGAGTTATCTTAGATTAATTCTGACTATTTTGAGGAAGTTGTAACGTAGGCGCAGGGAGTCAGGAAACAAGTGCAGTTAGTGAGTTTAATAATAATGAACATGGACTGATACAAAACAAGCAAAGCGTCTGACATGGAAACATAAACAATACTACCTAACGACTACTAACAGAAGAGTACTATATAAAGGGTGAGTAATCAAGGGAGTAATGAAGTCCAGGTGTGACTGATGACGAGACACAGGTGTGCGTAAAGATGGGTTGGCAGGACCGGTGGTTAGTAAACCGGCGACATCGAGCGCCGCGGGAGTAGACGTGACATAAGTGTATACTGACTATAGCATCTCAAAATGGACAAACAGTACTATTGAAAAAAATACAAATAAAATCAAGTCAAATTTTTTTTGTCACATGCGCCAAATACAACAAGCCCTTAACCAACAATGCAAGAAAGAATACCAAAAAAATAAATATATATATATATATATATATATATAAATAATAAGAATAAATAAAAGTAAATAATAACTAAAGAGCAGCAGTAAAATAACAATAGCGAGGCTATATACAGGGGGTACCGGTACCGAGTCAATGTGCGGGGACACTGGTTAGTCGAGGTAATTGAGGTAATATGTACATGTAGGTAGAGTTATTAAAGTGACTATGCATAGATAATAAACAGAGAGTAGCAGCAGCGTATAAGAGGGGTGGGTGGGGGGTGGGGCAATGCAAATAGTCTGGGTACTGGATTAGATGTTCAGGAGTCTGGATTAGATGTTCAGGAGTCTTATGGCTTGGGGTTAGAAGCCTCTTGGATAACCTTAACACAGTTCACACAGTCATCATCAGTATTGGGGTTAACAATTTTAGTCATAATCATAATTCCTCCATCATGTGGACACCAAGGAACTTGAAGCTCTCAACCTGCTCCAATACAGCCCCGTTGATGAGAATGGGGCTGTGCTCGGTCCTCTTTCTTTTTCCTGTGGTCTACAATCATCTCCTTTGTCTTGATCACATTGAGGGAGAGGTTGTTGTCCTGGCACCACACGGCCAGGTCTCTAACCTCCTCCCTAAAGGCTGTCTCGTCGTTGTCGGTGATCAGGCCTACCACTGTTGTGTCATCGGCAAACTTAATGATGGTGTTGGAGTCGTGCCTGGCCATGCAGTCATGAGTGAACAGGGAGTACAGGAGGGGACTGAGCACGCACCCCTGAGGGGCCCCCGTGTTGAAGATCAGCGTGGCAGATGTGTTGTTACCTACCCTTACCACCTGGGGGCGGCATGTCAGGAAGTCCAGGATCCAGTTGCAGAGGAAGGTGTTTAGTCCCAGGGTCCTTAGCTTAGTGATGAGCTTTGTGGGCACTATGGTGTTGAACGCTGAGCTGTAGTCAATGAATAGCATTCTCACATAGGTGTTCCTTTTGTCCAGGTGTGAAAGGGCAGTGTGGAGCGCAATAGAGATTGCATCATCTGTGGATCTGTTGGGGCAGTATGCAAATTGGAGTGGGTCTAGGGTTTCTGGGATAATGGTGTTGATGTGAGCCATGACCAGCCTTTCAAAGCACTTCATGGCTACAGACGTGAGTGCTACGGGTCGGTAGTCATTTAGGCAGGTTACCTTAGTGTTCTTGGGCACAGTGACTATTGTGGTTTGCTTGAAACATGTTGGTATTACAGACTCAGACAGGGAGAGGTTGAAAATGTCAGTGAAGACACTTGCCAGTTGGCCAGCGCATGCTCGGAGTACATGTCCTGGTAGCGGGATTTCTTATAAGCTTCCGGGTTAGAGTCCCGCTCCTTGAAAGCGGCAACTCTACCCTTTAGCTCAGTGCGGATGTTGCCTGTAATCCATGGCTTCTGTTTGGGTTATGTACGTACAGTCACTGTGGGGACAACGTCATCGATTCCCTTATTCCATCGGAAGAATCCCGGAATATATTCCAGTCTGTGCTAGCAAAACAGTCCTGTAGCTTAGCATCTGCTTCATCTGACCACTTTTTTATTGACCGAGTCACTGGTGCTTCCTGCTTTAGTTTTTGCTTGTAAGCAGGAATCAGGAGGATAGAATTATGGTCATTTTTGCCAAATGGAGGAGGAGGAAGAGCTTTGTACGCATCTCTGTGTGTGGAGTAAAGGTGGTCTAGAGTTTTTTTCCGTCTGGTTGCACATTTAAAATCCTGGTAGAAATTAGGTAAAATGGATTTAAGTTTCCCTGCATTAAAGTCCCCGGCCACTATGAGCGCCGTCTCTGGATGAGCGTTTTCCTGTTTGCTTATGGCCGTATACAGTTAATTGAGTGTGATCTTAGTGCCAGCATCGGTTTGTGGTGATAAATAGACAGCTATGAAGAATATAGATGAAAACTCTTGTTAGATAGTGTGGTCTACAGCTTATCATTAGATACTCTACCTAAGGCGAGCAAAACCTTGAGACTTCCTTAGATATTGTGCACCAGCTGTTGTTTACAAATATACATAGACCGCCACCCCTTGTCTTACCAGAGGCTGCTGTTCTATCGTGCCGATACAGTGTATAACCCGCCAGCTGTATGTTATTCATGTCGTCGTTCAGCCACGACTCAGTGAAACATAAGATATTACAGTTTTTAATGTCCCGTCGGTAGGATTTACATGCTTGTAGTTCGTCCACTTTATTATCAAGCGATTGTACATAGGCCAATAGTATCGATGGCAAAGGCAGATTAGCCACTCGTCGCCGGCTCCTTACCAGTGTCACGATCGTTAGACGGAGTAGACCAAGGCGCAACGTTGAAAGCAAACATACTTTATTAATCGAATGATAACACGAACAGCGAAACAAAACAACAAACGATACGTGACATCCAAAGGACAAACCTAACTAGGAACAAACCAACTGGAAACAAGATCCCACAACTATTGTGGGAAAAACAGCCTCTATAAATATGGCTCCCAATCAGAGACAACCAGCAACAGCTGACACTCGTTGCCTCTGATTGGGAACCACTCAGCCAACACAGAAATACAATACATAGAATATACACACCCTGGCTCAACATATATAGTCCCCAGAGCCAGGGTGTGACAACCAGGCACCCCGATCTCCTTCCGTGATATCTCCTTTTCTTTCTACTGCGAATGATGGGGATGAGGGCCCTGTCGGGTGTCTGGAGCAAATCCCTCTCGTATGACTCATTAAATACAAATTATTAGTCCAGTTCAAGGTGAGTAATCGCTGTTCTGATGTCCAGAAGCTCTTTTCGGTCATAAGAGACGGTAGCAGCAACATTATTGCTGCTTTTTTCTTGTTTTCAAGTGAAGGTCTTTTAAGGGAGTATGCAAGCACACTCGTTCGGTTCGCTTAGCCGACTTCGGCTAGCCGCCAGCTGAACTAAAGCATGCTGACGCCTTAAGATATCAGGGTCGTTCCACCAAGAAGAGTGCCTTTTGGGCAGTGTAATTTGGTCAAATTGACATTTACATTTCACCTCATTTTAACATTCTGTCATAAAGAGCACATGTTCAACTTCATTAAGAGGTTAAATACAAAAAATTACTATAGTAAGTGCCAATTAATTAACAGGGTTGACCATAACAGGGTGGATGTTTTCATCTTAAATTAGCGATACATCCCCTTGTGACAGGGGGAATGGAAGCTTGTTGTGTGCGACAGGGAGGGGATATTGAATTGCCATAATTTTCCAACATCACCATTGGTGCAGAGCCAGACTACTAATTATTATGCTACTTAATACATATAGCTACTGTATCTGGAAATAAGTTGTCACAAACAAATGGCTTTATTATATTTTATTTTTCAAAGAGTTGTGCCAGCAGAAAACAAATATGGTGGTGCTTTAATGGTCAGATCAATTGCAAATAGTTTCAATCAAAGTTATTCCTGAATAATGCTTATAGTGAAAATGCATTCCATTAGGCTAAATTGTCCATTGAGAGATATAGACATTCCTTCCTTCACAATATGTCACAGGCATTTGATCAACCGTCTGTCGGTGTGGTGTGGGTGTTGTTTATCTCAAAGAATTTGAGACAGTAAATTGGTCTTCCTTTGACCTGGGGTTGATAACCGCTCTTGGTTTTCCTCTTTTCTGAGAACTGGAGATGGAAACCTGTTTGTTAGTCCTCCTCTAACTTCTCCACCACTTTGCGGAGCTTGTCAACCAACACTGTGGAACAGAAACTTGATTACTCAATCTGTCCTGGGTATGATAACACCTCTTAATGATGATTATAATGATGGAAATAAGAAATAAGGATAACTGAGAGGACAAATAGGAATCAATATGGACAGGTGAAATTATTGTATGTAGGGGTACAGTATATCATACAGTGCTCTCCGTAATGATTGGGACAGTGAAGCATTTTTTCTTATTTTGGCTCTATACTCCAGAAGTTTGGATTTGGTTAAAGTGGTTAAAAAAGGTTTAAGTGCAGATTGTCAGGCAAACTGTTTAGAAATTACAGCACTTTTTGTACATAGTCCACCCATTTCAGGGCACCCAAATTATTGAGACAAATTCACTTATGTGCATTAAAGTAGTAAAAAGTTAAGTATTTGATTCCATATTCATAGCACGCAGTGAATACATCAATCAAGTTGGTATGATATTTGTGGGTCTAACTTTCTCACTCACCATTATTCACGATAAATTCAGGATTATACATAATCATGGTAGCATCCACATTAATGTAGAAGTTTTCAGAAACATATTCTATTCACAATAGAAGTCTCAAAATGACAATACATTATTTACCATTCATTTCTATTGGGCACAAAATAATCTGAAAGACAACCAAAACAAACAGCAAATGCATCCAACAAATGTGTAGAGTCACAAGCTTCATGTAGTCATTGCGTGCTATGAATATGGGACCAAATACTTAACTTTTTACATTATTAATACCTTCCTTCTAGGCGGAGTCAACTCCTTGCACATCTAGACAGCAAATACATCTCTGTTGCTAGTCAGGAACTTAATTGGTTCCTCTCACTGGTGTAGTCATGGCCCTGCCTCATGCTAGACCCTTCGTGGGCGTGGAAGTATGTGTGTGTGAGATAGGACTGTTCCTTCTCACTTCATCTGACCTGACCTCGGGCCGAATTACTCGGGCCGAATTACTCGCGCCTCCCTAATCCACGACTGTCCTACTTTATCAGTGACTGAAACCAGACTGTTGCCCTTTGCCTCATTCCTTAGGAGCCATGAGTTTTAACAATAACATCTTTTGACAGAATGTAAACTTTTTGCACTCCCTCGTCTCAGTGTGTAACTTTCCATACACCTAGTTCTTATCCATCCTCCATTGACCCCAACATATACATTCCTTTTACATGTACAGTAATCAATAAGTTATAGTCTGGTAACATTAATAAGTACATTTCAAGCTAGAATCCAACACCACGTAGTCATTGTTTGATTTCAAATCCAAACATTTAGAGTATAGAGCCAAAAGAAGAAAAACTGCTTCACTGTCCCAATAATTACAGTGGGCGCTCTATACAGGTATCTTAGTGGGTAAGAGCGTTGTGCCAGTAACCGAAAGGTCGCTGGTTCTAATCCCTGAGCCGACTAGGTGAAAAATCTGTCGATGTGCCCTTAAGCAAGGCACTTAACCCTAATTGCTCATGTAAGTCGCTCTGGATAAGAGCGTCTGCTAAATGACTAAAATGTAAAATGTAAATGATATCTCGGCATATATGTTGTGTGTGTTGAAGGTATTACCTCCAGCCGTTGGCCTTTGGAAGCTGTCGTAGGAGCGACAGTCGTTGATCAGTTCTCCCAACTGTTTAGGGCAACCTTCAGGAAGAGGTTCAGTATATTTGTCTTTACACACCCTCTGATACACCTCTTTGTCTGAGCAGTCTGATCAGAAGTACAAGAGAAAACAGAAATGGAATGATACATTTCTAAATATGACAGAGCAAGCATATGTTTATAGAGGGAGCGAAAACCCAACCATGCTATTTCCAGATATACAGTATCATTGGTATTACTGATAGTGTTTGTTACACACAGTACTTTCACTAATTGACACACACCTCTGAAAGGAATCTTGCAGGTTGCAATCTCCCAAAGGACAATACCAAAACTGCAAAGAACATGACAATTTAAACAGAGTGAAATTGCAGTAGACTGAGGCCTGAAGGGCCTACATTAGAACAACAGAGACCATTTCAACATAGAAAATGTACAGTGCCTTCAGAAAGTATTCATACCCCTTAACTTATTTCACATTTTGTTGTGTTACAGCGTGAATTCAAAATGTATTAAATATATTATTTTTCTCACCCATCTAAACACAATACCCCATAATGACAAAGTGAAAATATGTTTTTTTAGAAATTACTGCACATTTATTGAAAATGAAATACAGAAATAAACCATTTACATAAGTATTCACACCCGAGTCAATGATAGAATCACCTTTGGCAGTGATTACAGCTGTGAGTCTTTCTGGGGAAGTCTAAGAGCTTTACACACCTGGATTGTACAATATTTGCACATTATTATCTGAAAGATTCTTCAAGCTCTGTCAAGTTGGTTGTTGATCATTGCTAGACAGACATTTTCAAGTCTTGCCATTGATTTTCAAGGTGATTTAAGTCAAAACTGTAACTAGGCCACTCAGGAACATTCAATGTCGTCTTGGTAAGCAACTCCAGTGTTTATTTGGCCTTGTGTTTTAGGTTATTATCCTGCTGAAAGGTGAATTTGTCTCCCAGTGTCTGTTGGAAAGCAGGCTGAGCCAGGTTTTCCTCTACACTCTTTTGGGTTCCATTTAGAACCCTCTGTGGAAAGGGTCCTACATGGAACCCAAAAAGGGTTCTACCAGGAACCAAAAGGGTTCTACCTGGAACCAAAAAGGGTTCTACCTGGAACCAAAAAGGGTTCTTCAAAGGGTTCTCCAATGAGGACAACCGAATAACCATTTTAGATTCTAGATAGCACGTTCTTTCTAAGAGTGTAGGATTTTGCCTATGCTTAGCTCTATTCCGTTTCTTTTTATCCCAAAAAAACTCTGTAGTACTTGTCGATGACAAGCATACCCATAACCAAGGGTTGGAACCGGTTCAGGAAACAGAACCTGTACCGAAAGTGATCTATACCGGAACAGAACCGTTATTTTAAAAGCATGGGAATCAGTTAATAAAGTTATTTTACGCTCTGGGATGCATGCTTTGGAATATGTTTTATTCTGTACAGGCTTCCTTCTTTTCATTCTGTCATTTAGGTTAGTATTGTGGAGTAACTACAATGTTGTTGATCCATCCTCAGTTTTCTCCTATCACAGCCATTAAACTCTGCAACTGTTTTAAAAGTCGCCACTGGCCTCATGGTAAAATCCCTTAGTGGTTTTCTTCCCCTCCGGCACCTGAGTTAGGAAGGACGCCTGTATCTTTGTCGTGACTGGGTGTATTGATACACCATCCAAAGTGTAATTAATAACTTCACCATGCTCAAAGAGATATTCTGTGCCTGCTTTTTAAAATGTGTATCCATCTTCCAATAGGTGCCTTTCTTTGCGAGGCATTGGAAAACCACCCTGGTCTTTGTGGTTGAATCTGTGTTTGAAATTCACTGCTCGACTGAGGGACCTAACAGATAATTGTATACAGTGGGCTCCAAAATTACTGGCACCCCTGACTGGCAATGCACAAACAATACTTCATTATGCCATCAATCTTAACCAGTGCCCCTGGACCTCTGGAATTAAAACAGCCCCAAAACATCACTGACCCACCATCATATTTTACCGTGGGTATGAGGTGCCTCTCCTTGTATGCATCTCTGTTTCGACGACAAACATGCCGATGTTGTATCTGACCAAAACTTTCAATTTTGGTCTCATCTGACCAGAGCACCTTCTTCCAGTCATAATTTAAATGACGTTTGGCAAACTCCAAGCACTTGCGTCTGTGTCTTGTGGTCAGAAAGGGCTTTCTTCTGGCAACCTTTCCAAAGAGCTTGTGGTTGTGGAGGTGGCATCTGATTGTGCTTTTTGAAACCTGGTGACCCCAAGATGCCACCAAGGCCTGCAATTCTTTCACAGTGATTCTTGGGGATTTTGTTGCTTCTCTCACCATCCTCCTCCCTATCCTGGGGGGAAAAATGCATTTGCGTCCTCTACCCGTGAGGTTTTCAACTGTTCCATATCTTTAAAAAAATTTAATAATTGCCCTGACAGTGCTCTGTAGTATATTCAATTGTTTGTGGATCTTCTTGTTGCCATTACCAGATTTATGAAGGTCTACAACCATGTCTCTTTTGAACTGCCAGTTATTTTGTTTTCTTCATGTTTGGATGACAAAGGGATATTGCATGCGTGTTACCTCATTTATACCCTAGTGAAACAGGAAGTGATGTAATGGCTCATATAGTTCCTTAAGACTTAGATAAACTTAAATAAGTGGAATTGTATTCTTGGTTTAATTTTGGTAGATGTTATTTACAATAATCTTTAAGGGTGCCATTCATTGTGAAACCTTGATTTGGAGGACATTGATTTTTAATTAAAATCAATACATTATTTTGGTGGGTTCCATTGGAACATTAATATAGTACAGTATTTCTCACATGTTGGTATTTTGAGTTTCTCTCTATAATTATATTGTAAGTATTGTTTGTGCATTGCCAGTCAGGGGTGCCAGTCATTTTGGAGCCCACTGTATGTGGGGTACGGAGATGAGGTAGTCATTAAAAAGTCATGTTAAACACAATCATTGCACACAGATTCCATGCAACTTATTAAGTGACTAGTTAAGCACATTTTTACTCCTGAACTTATTTTAGGCTTGCCATAACAAAGGGGTTGAATACTTATTGACTCAACACATTTCAGCTTTTCATTTTTTATACATTTAAAAAAAAACTAATTCCACTTTGACATTATGGGGAATTGTGTGTATGCCAGTGACACAAAATCTCAATTTAATCCATTTTAAATTCTGTAACACAACAAAATGTGGAAAAAGTCAAGGGGTGTGAATACTTTCTGAAGGCACTGTAATGAGTTTTATGTGATTTTACATTCATGGTTCAGTGGTTGAGAGTGTGTAGTATTTTGGCTTGAAGCTGACCTGTACATCTCACATTCCTTGTTGTATTTATGGTTAATATTCTCAAGCTGCTGAGGGGAGCTGTAGCAGAAAGAGCTTCGATTGCTGTCCTTAGTCCTCTTCAATGACGTCTCTGTTTTGGCCAGCTCAAAACCTCCCAGCTAACCATGTACAAAGGAAAACAGAAAATTACATTGAGATAGAGTACTTCACCTATCACTTTGTAGTGTCAAACACACATGGATGTCTACAGGACTGCATTGAACCTCATACCTTCACTCTGTACCCGGTATCTACCAGGAACTTGCTGCTGTTGATGCATCCATGCACTTTAAACTTCTCCTCAGACTGGTGCAATCTACAGTTAGAGAGGGATTAGCTAGTCATGACAGCTCAATGTGATTAGGATACACTTTCGCTTTCTGTGAACTTTTGTAAGAGAGGCGCAGGGCACTGATAAAGTGTACCCATTATTTTAGAGAAGAAGAAACACCAGAGCATACTGGATAGTATTGGTGGATAGAAGTTTAAGTAGTTGAATCATAAGCTGCATGAATAGGATCCAACGTTCCTCTGTCGATTTAGGCAAAATTGTACCTGACGTTACCAATGACATGTGGCTGTGGCAGGGCAATCAGAGATGCGACATTATTAGCCAGTTTTAGGCGTGGCATTCCACCATGCTGGCGGAATCCTTTCATGTGCACCAACACTTCATGTTGAAGGTGTCTGTACTTGTTGCGACAGAGACGTGGCATATTGGCATAATATATATATTTGAGCATCATGTAGTAGCCTAAGCCTATTGATGTTACATTGAGCTGGGTGAATGGAATATGAATGACAGTCATCCAAGAGACTGTAATAGAAATAAGGCAATGCTCATAAAAAATGTTTTCGTCCTCCCTCATCATAAATGGCACTGACTGCCAATGATATGAGGTTGCTACAACCTGGCCTATGAATGAAAGTTCACAACGTAGGTGCACAGGTTGAGAGAAATTTGAGTAATCAAGATGACAGACATTGACACATTCAATACCGCCTTGCACACTCTTGCCTGCATCTAGATGATCTAGGGTGTAATCATTAGTCCAACAGCTGCAAACAAGAGTTTCTATTGGACAAATGCAGGTATGTTTATCCCCGTTTCGTTCCATTTGCTTTCGTTTAAGAATACACCCGATCACATGCAAACACAGTTCACTTTCATAGCAGCCACATACAAACAGCCCCAGACCATTATACCTCCTCCACCAAACTTTACAGTTGGCACTACGCATTCGGGCAGGTAGCGTTCTCCTGGAATCAGCCAAACCCAGATTAGTCCGTCGGACTGCCAGATTATGAAGTGTGATTTAGTACAATGGCGGTGAGCTTTACACCACTCCAGCCGACGCTTTGCATTGCACATGTTGATCTTAGGCTTGTGTGCGGCTGCTCGGTCATGGAAACCCATTTCATGAAGCTCTGTACGAACAGTTCTTGTGCTGACGTTGCTTCCAGAGGCAGTTTGGAACTCGGTAGTGAGTGTTGCAACTGAGGACAGAAGATTCTTACACACTACACGCCTAAGCACTCGGTGGTCCCGTTATGTGCGCTTGTGTGGCCTACCACTTTGCGGCTGAGCCGTTGTGGCTCCTAGACGTTTCCACTTCACAATAACAGGGCAGAAATTTTGAAAACTGACTTGTTGGAAAGGTGGCAACCTATGACGGTGCCTCATTGAATGTCACTGAGCTCTTCAGTAAGGTCATTCTACTGCCAATGTTTTTCTATGGAGATTGCAAGGCTGTGTGCTCAATATTATACACCTGTCAGCAACGGGTGTGGCTGAAATAGCCGAATCTACTAATTTGAAGGGGTGTCCTCATATATACAGTGTGTGTGTGTGTGTGTATATACAGTGAGGGGAAAAAAGTATTTGATCCCCTGCTGATTTTGTACGTTTGCCCACTGACAAAGAAATGATCGGTCTATCATTTAAAATAGTAGGTTTATTTGAACAGTGAGAGAAAGAATAACAACAACAAAAATCCAGAAAAACGCATGTCAAAAATGTTATAAATTGATTTGGATTTTAATGAGGGAAATAAGTATCTGCAAAACAAAATACTTAGTACTTGGTGGCAAAACCCTTGTTGGCAATCACAGAGGTCAGACGTTTCTTGTAGTTGGCCACCAGGTTTGCACACATCTCAGGAGGGATTTTGTCCCACTCCTCTTTGCAGATCTTCTCCAAGTCATTAAGGTTTCGAGGCTGACGTTTGGCAACTCAAACCTTCAGCTCCCTCCACAGATTTTCTATGGGATTAAGGTCTGGAGACTGGCTAGGCCACTCCAGGACCTTAATGTGCTTCTTCTTGAGCCACTCCTTTGTTGCCTTGGCCGTGTGTTTTGGGTCATTGTCATGCTGGAATACCCATCCACGACCCATTTTTAATGCCCTGGCTGAGGGAAGGAGGTTCTCACCCAAGATTTGACGTACATGGCCCCGTCCATCGTCCCTTTGATGAGGTGAAGTTGTCCTGTCCCCTTAGCAGAAAAACACCCCCAAAGCATAATGTTTCCACCTCCATGTTTGACGGTGGGGATGGTGTTCTTGGGGTCATAGGCCGAGAGAGATTGACAGTTTTTGTGTTTCATCCATTTGCGAATAATCGCACCAACTGTTGTCACCTTCTCACCAAGCTGCTTGGCGATAGTCTTGTAGCCCATTCCAGCCTTGTGTAGGTCTACAATCTTGTCCCTGACATCCTTGGAGAGCACTTTGGTCTTGGCCATGGTGGAGAGTTTGGAATCTGATTGATTGCTTCTGTGGACAGGTGGGTGGTGTAGTGTGTTGGTAGTGAGGTCCTCTACCCTCCAGGTCTCCAGGGCTTGGTGTCTGCTGTGGAGTGTCCAGGTGTGGGGCTGGAGGGGGTCAAATACTTATTTCCCTCATTAAAATGCAAATCAATTCATAACATTTTTTACATGCGTTTTTCTGGATTTTTTTGTTGTTATTCTGTCTCCCACTGTTCAAATAAACCTATCATTAAAATTATAGACTGATCATTTCTTTGTCAGTGGGCAAACGTACAAAATCAGCAGGGGATCAAATACTTTTTTCCCTCACTGTATATACACACACACACACAGAACCAGTCAAAAGTTTGGACACACCTACTCATTCAAGTGTCTTTCTTTAATTTTACTATTTTCTACATTGTAGAATTATAGTGAAGACATCAAAATTATTAAATAACACATATGGAATCATGTAGTAAAAAAAAAAGTGTTAAACAAATCAAAATATATCTAATATTTTAGATTCTTCAAAGTAGCCACCGGTTGCCTTGATGACAGCTTTGCACACTCTTGGCATTCTCTCAACCAGCTTCATGAGGAATTCTTTTCCAACAGTCTTGATGGAGTTCCCACATATGCTGAGCACTTGTTGGCTGCTTTTCCTTCACTCTGCGGTCCAACTCATCCCAAACCATCTCAATTGGGTTGAGGTCAGGTGATTGTGGAGGCCAGGTCATCTGATGCAGCACTCCATCATCCTCCTTGGTCAAATAGCCCTTACACAGCCTGGAGGTGGTTTTTGGGTAATTGCCCTGTTGAAAAACAAATGGTAGTCCCACTAAGCGCAAACCAGATGGGATGGCGTATCGCTGCAAAATGCTGTGGTAGCCATGCTGTTTAAGTGTGCCTTGAATTCTAAATAAATCACAGACAGTGTCACCAGCAAAGCACCCCCAAACCATCACACCTCCTCCTCCATGCTTCATGTTGGGAACCACACGTGGAAATCATCCGTTCACCTACTCTGCGTCTCACAAAGACACGGCGGTTGAACCAAAAATCTCTCATTTGGACTCATCAGACCAAAGGACAATGTTCATTGCTCGTGTTTCTTGGCCCAAGCAAGTCTCTTCTTATTGGTGTCCTTTAGGAGGGGTTTCTTTGCAGCAATTCGACCATGCGCTTTAATTATTTGTTAATTTTATTTTGTATTATTTTATGATTTTCTTTTGGTATTCTTTCTTTAAAAATGCATTGTTGGTTAAAGGCTTGTAAGTAAGCATTTCACTGTAAGGTCTACACCTGTTGTATTCGGCGCATGTGACAAATAACATTTTATTTTATTTGATGAAGGCCTTATTAACACAGTCTCCTCTGAACAGTTGATGTTGAGATGTGTCTGTTACTTGAACTCCGTGAATCATTTATTTGGGCTGCAATCTGAGGTGCAGTTAACTCTAATGAACTTATCCTCTGCAGCAAAGGTAACTCTGGGTCTTCCATTCCTGTAGCTGTCCTCATGAGAGCCAGTTTAATCATAGCGCTTGATGGTTTAAGAAGGATAGAAATTCCACAAATTAACTTTTAACAAGGCACACCTGTTAATTGTATTGCATTCCAGGTGACTACCTCATGAAGCTGGTTGAGAGAATGCCAAGTGTGCAAAGCTGTCATCAAGGCAAAGGGTGGCTATTTGAAGAATCTCAAATATAAAATATATTTTGATTTGTTTAACACTTTTTAGGTTACTACATGATTCCATATGTGTTATTTCATAGTTTTGATGTCTACACTATTATTCTACAATGTAGAAAATAGTAAAAAATAAAGAAAAACCCTGGAATGAGTGTGTGTCCAAACTTTGGACTGGTACTGTATATATACTGTAAATATAAATAAGATAAAAGGAGAGAAAGGGAGAAAGAGAGACTTATTCAACTAAAGAAATTCAATATAACACATTTATGGCAAAGATATGATAGAGATGGTGATCCGTGCGTCATGTCATGTGTAATTGGTGTACTGTCTGGTTTCATGTGTGTACTGTCTGGTTTCATGTGTGTACAAGGTAAAGTGATTCATTTCTATAGAGGTACTGTATAACTGTAAGTAGGTTGGCATTTATTGTCATGAATCTTGCCCTGGTAGCAGCTCTGCAGAGTGGTCACTAGCTGGCACAGCCACAAAGTCATAAAATCTATTTTATACGTAACCTTAACCCAAACCTTAACCACACTGCTAACCCTAATGCATAAAGAAATACCTTAAATTAAGACCAAAAAGCAGCTTGCCCATCTAGCCCATCATTACTGACTCCAGGTCAAGATTAATGAGAATAAACATCAAACTGCTACCTGTAGAGACCCTGTGCTGCGTCCAGACTCATGCGAGCCTTTCTGTCCCAGAGCAGGTTGCTTTGGGAATCCAGCACCTCTCTCAGACTGCCCTTCTCACAAAACTCCATGACAATGAGGAAGTTTGGATTGGGTCCTACAGGACAACAAGGGTAGAGAAGATCATTATAAATGCAACAAGGGCACATCATCACATTTTGATATCATATCCTGCAATCACATAGTGATTATATCCTGTCTTATATTTGTTCAGCAACTATTTCACATACTGTAAAACAGCTTACTCACCACTCTCGTCCTGGACACAGATCCCAAACATTCGCAAGATGTTTGGTGACTCAAAGCGTTTCATAGTCTCCACTTCCTTTTTAAAGATGCTTCTCACTTGACTGTGTGGGACAAACATAACCGATTAAACAAATAGATGTTTAGCACTGAAGTTGATATTACAAGACCTCTCAGACATCTTATATGCTATGCTACATACCTCATGCTTGTGCTCCTTGAGTAGGTGTATCTTTTGATGGCCACTGGGAATTTGTTGTACTCTCCTTTGAATATCTCTGAGTTGTCATTTTTGATGAAGGGCTCTTTGGGCACGTCGTAGATCAGCTCCTCTGGCTTGATCTCTCGGATGTCTTGATTAAAAATACTGGGCTTCATTACTGTCAATGGGAAACACAACAAAGTCAAACACAACAAAGCCACTCCTGTACTCCCTGTTCACCCATGACTGCGTGTCCAAGCACGCCTCCAACTCAATCATGAAGTTTGCAGATGACACAACAGTAGTAGGCTTGATTACCAACAATGGTGCAGCTGTGTGGAGATATGAGTAGCAACAGAACTAACGTTTTCACTTGTTTGTGCGCTATGACCCGATACACATAGCCACATACACATAGTCACAAGAAGAAACCATAGTGGCTCAAGGTCCAGGGAGGGTGGCTGTTTGGATAAAGAGGGGGTTCAGATATGATATGAAAAGGAGACCAAGCAGACATGGGGATAGACAGGTAAGAAGCCAATTGTTCAGTACACTCCCAAGTAGACTATAAGTTAAACACATTCTTCAGTAGACTATAAGTTGAACATAGTTAAATATTTTTAGAATATAAAGTTAAAACATAGTTAATCACAAAGACAAGCAGTAAGACTAAGTGAAACAGAGTGTGGTACAGAGTGGTACACAAGGAGGGAGCCTGAGCCAGAGTCAGGACATGGCTCCTGGGAATGGGCCTGCTCATTCTTACAATGTGTGGGAAATATACACTGTGTGCACAATTATTAGACAAGTCAGTATTTTCACCATATCATCATTATTATGCATATTTCACAACTCCAAGCTGTATAAACTGGAATGCTTATTGGATTTAAGCATATCAGGTGATGTGTATTTGTGTAATGAGGGAGGGTGTGGCCTAAGGAGATCAACACCCTATATCAAGAGGTGTATAATTATTAGGCAGCTTCTTTTCCTCAGGCAAAATGGGCCAAAAAAGAGATTTAACTCACTCTGAAAAGTCAAAAATTGTAAAAAGTATTTCAGAGGGATGCAGCACTCTTGAAATTGCTAAGATATTGGGGCGTGATCACAGACCCATCAAAAGTTTTGTTGCAAATAGTCAACAGGGTCGCAAGAACCGTGTTGAGAAAAAAAGACGCAAATTAACTGCCAAAGATTTGAGAAGAATCAAACGTGAAGCTACCAGGAACCCATTATCCTCCAGTGCTGTCATATTCCAGAACTGCAACCTCCCTGGAGTGCCCAGAAGTACAAGGTCAGAGACATGGCCAAGGTAAGGAAGGCTGAAACCTGACCTCCACTGAACAAGACACATAAGTTGAAACGTCAAGACTGGGCCAAGAAATATCTGAAGACAGATTTTTCAAAGGTTTTATGGACTGATAAGATGAGTGACTCTTGACAGACCAGATGGATGGGCCCGTGGCTGGATCAGTAACGGGCACGGAGCTCCACTTCGACTCAGATGCCAGCATGGTGGAGGTGGGGTACTGGTATGGGCTGGTATTATTAAAGATGAGCTAGTTGGACCTTTTCGGGTTGAAGATGGACTCAAACTCAACTCCCAAATTTACTGCCAGTTTTTAGAAGACACTTTCTTCAAGCAGTGGTACAGGAAAAAGTCTGCATATTTCAAGAAGACCATGATTTTTATGCAGGACAATGCTCCATTGCATGCATCGAAGTACTCCACTGCGTGGCTAGCCAGTAAAGGCCTTAAAGATGAAAGAATAATGATATGGCCCCCTTCCTCACCTGACCTAAACCCTATTGAGAACTTGTGGTCCCTTCTTAAACGGTCGATTTACGGTGAAGGAAAACAGTACACCTTTCTGGCCAGTGTCTGGGAGGCTGTGGTTGCTGCCGCACAAAAAGTTGATCGTCAAGAGATCAAGAAACTGACAGACTCCATGGATGGAAGGTTTATGACTGTTATTAAAAAGAAGGGTGGCTATATTGGTCACAGATTATTATTTTTTTATGTCAGAAATGTTTATTTGTAAATGTTGAGTTGTTTGTTTATTATTCTCACTTTAACAGATGAAAATAAACAAGTGACATGGGGAACTTTTCGTTTTTCATTTAGTTGCATAATAATTCTGCACACTAATAGTTGCCCAATAATTGTGCACACATATATTCTCCAAAGAAAGGCAAAACCTCACTTTTACTTTCTTAAATATTCAGGTTTGAGGTTTATTAACATTTTGGATTGACCGAGAGCACTGTAGTTGTTCAATAATAAAATTAATCCTCAAACATACAACTTGCCTAATAATTGTGCACACATTGTACACTATGCATGAGAACTGTACATGTCTAAGAATTGATTATACTGCTATACATGAGGCCATGCATAAGGAATGTCTTAAACGTATATGGTTGAGAATGGGTTATGGACCTGCCCTGTTTAAACCATATTTAAGTATTGATTGATATGTTTTAGAATAAACAGAGCAGAGCCAGGAGATGGCTCTGTTATTTTTTACATGAGAAAGCTTGGTCCTGCCACTATTGTTTCCAAAACTGAATACATAGGAGGAGGAGAAGTCAGATTTCGCCACTATCATAAATTAAGAGAGTGGGCGGAGCAGTCAAAATATGATTTGGAGACAATGGTGGAAGAACTAAACAGGTAGGGATTAAGCTAAAAAGTATGTCAAATGTGCAGGAATAGAACTGTATATAAAAAGTGTTAGGAATTCAGTTGCTCTGCAGACCAGCTCGGCTTTGTTGCTTTGTGTAATAAAGTCTATATTGATTCTACAAAAACTCTGAAAGTACTGTTTGTTTTAATAAGTATAGGGATAATTTTCCACAACAATAATCAAAGACATCAACCACCTGAGCCACTGCCTGTTCACCCCACTATCATCCAGAAGGAGAGGTCAGTACAGGTGCATCAAAGCTGGGAAGAGAGACTGAAAAACTGCTTCTATCTCAAGGCCATCAGACTGTTAAACAGCCATCACTAGCATATTAGAGGCTGCTGCCTATAGACAGACTAGAAATCACTGGCCACTATAAGAAATGGAACACTAGCCACTTGTCACGAATACAGCCGAGGCTGCCCCTCCTCCTTGCTCGGGCAGGCTTCTGCGTTCGTCGTCACCGGAGTACTAGCTGCCACCGATCGATGTTTCTGTGTTACACTAGTCTTGTCTTTATTAATCACACCTGTTACCCATTATGCTTATTTGTGTCCCTATAATTACCTCTGTTTTCCCTCCTGAGTTTGTGTGTGATTGTCTGTTGTTTTACGTTGTTTGGTGAGCTGTTCTGCTCTTCCCTGCATGGAGGGTTTGTTATGGTTTACTTTTGTTTAGTAACTCCATTCATTTTCTCAGTTCTGTGTCCTGCGCCTGATTCCGTTTCACCACTTCACCCAGACGTTGACAGAATCACGCACCACCTATGGAGTCAGCAGGCACATCCGATCCCAGCGCCTCGGTGGAGGAACGCATCCAGCAGCACTCGACCATGCTGCAGGCTTTAGGTTCGGCTATGGATCGAGTGGTGAACACCATGGATCGATGGGAGAGAAGTGGGTTTCCTACACTTCTCCCCCATCAAGACCATCAAACCCTGGATCCAGTGGAATTCGGCTCTCGCTCCCGAGGGAATATGATGGGACAGCTGCCGGGTGTAAGGGTTTCCTGCTCCAGGTGGAGCTCTACCTGGCAACCATCCACCTGGCTCCCTCGGGATACTGGAGCGTGTCCGCCCTCATCTCCTGTATGTCGGGCAGAGCGCTGGAATGGGCCAACGCGGAGTGGGGTGGAATAGACGCTGAGTCCATACGTTACAAGGATTTCACCCGCCGTTTCCGGGCAGTATTCGATCATCATAGTGTCTGATCGGGGTCCCCAGTTTACATCAAGGGTCTGGAAGGCGTTCATGGACCATCTGGGGGTCTCGGTCAGCCTGACCTCAGGGTTTCACCCTGAGAGTAATGGGCAGGTGGAGAGAGTAAACCAGGATGTGGGTAGGTTTCTGAGGTCATATTGCCAGGACCGGCAGGGGGATTGGTCAGTTTACATCCCCTGGGCAGAGATGGCACAAAATTCCCTACGCCACTCCTCCACTGACCTGTCTCCCTTTCAGTGTGTACTAGGTTACCAGCCGGTCCTGGCACCATGGCATCAGAGCCAGATCGAGGCACCTGCGGTGGATGAATGGTTTCGGCGCTCGGAGGAGACATGGTACGCTGCCCATGTACGCCTGCAAAGGGCTATTAGGAGACAGAAGGCGAGTGCCGACCGCCACCGCAGTGAGGCTCCGGTGTATGCACCGGGGGACCGGGTCTGGCTCTCGACCCGAAACCTGCCCCTTCGCCTGCCCTGCCAGTTTGTGGGGCCCTTTAAAGTCCTGAGGAGGTTGAACGAGGTTTGTTATAGGTTACAACTCCCCCTGATTACCGTATTAACCCCTCGTACCATGTGTCTCTCATCAGGCCGGTGGTAGCTGGTCCGCTCCAGGAGTCTGAGGTGCGGGAGGTTCCTCCGCCCCCATTGGACATCGAGGGGGCACCGACGTACTCAGTCTGTTCCATTCTGGTTTCGAGGCGTCGGGTGGGAGGCCTGCAGTATCTCGTGGAGTGGGAGGGGTACGTTCTGGAGGAACGGAGCTGGGTTCCCAGGAGGGCCATCCATCGTCGTCATCTGACTCGCCCTGCTCCGCGTCTTCCTGGCTGTCCCCGAGGCCAGTGTCGACGCATGGCTGGAGCCGCGCGTCGGGGGGGGGTACTGTCACGAATACAGCCAAGGCTGCCCCTCCTCCTTGCTCGGGCAGGCTTCGGCGTTCGTCGTCACCGGAGTACTAGCTGCCACCGATCAATGTTTCTGTGTTACACTAGTCTTGTCTTTATTAATCACACCTGTTACCCATTATGCTTATTTGTGTCCCTATAATTACCTCTGTTTTCCCTCCTGAGTTTGTACGTGATTGTCTGTTGTTTTACGTCATTTGGTGAGCTGTTGTTCTGCTCTTCCCTGCGTGGAGGGTTTGTTATGGTTTACTTTTGTTTAGTAAATCCATTCATTTTCTCAGTTCTGTGTCCTGCGCCTTATTCCGTTTCACCACTTCACCCAGACGTTGACACCACTTTAATAATGTTTACATATCTTGCATTACTCATCTCATTGTATATACTATATTCTATAATATTCTACTGTATCTTAGTCCATGCCGCTCTGACATCGCTCGTTCATATATGTATTTATTCTAAATTCATTCCTTACTTAGATTTGTGTGTATTGGGTATATGTTGTGAAATTATTAGATATTACTTGTTAAATATTACTGCACTGTCGGAGCTAGAAGCACAAGCATTTCGCTACACCCGCAATGACATCTGCTAAACACGTGTGTGACCAATAAAATTTGATTTGAGATCACATCAAACCAATAACACAGAGAACAAGATATCACAGCACATCGTCACACAAAATACATTGAGGATGGATAGACCATGGGATGCTTGCCTGATGTAAGATGCAAAACTGTGCTGATAGGATATACTCACAGTGTCCTTTATCATCAGGTGCAGGTTGAAGTCAGTAAGAAATTAGAAACAGCAACAGTTGCTCAGATTCCAAATTAACAAGTACAGTTTGTAACAACAATTAATCTATAGAGGCTTACTTACAGGTTTCCAACATGGCTTTGATGTCTTTCACATCTTTTTCGGTGGAGTCGACTTTCTCACGCACTGCGCCCACACTTTCCTTCGTGTCCTCCGCCAGAGACTGTAGCACTGTGGGACATAACAGTAACACACACAGCTAAATTTGGCGTAGTCAGCAGAATCAACAACTCGAGCTTTCCCTGCCTGCTCATACGGGGAGGCCACTTGATTATGACTGAAAACGGCATGGTAGAGCTGTCTCACATTTCTGCAGCTCCAGACGATCACTCTCCCTGTCAGCCTCATCCTCTCTCCGTCGTGTCGCCTCTCGAAACACCAGAAGTAGCTTGTTCCTCTGATCCACCTGCAGGGCTAGCGACAGCACCTGAGCCACATCATTCAGCCGCTCATTTAAACTCCCAAAATCATCTCCTTGGTCGTAGGCCTTCAGGATGCGCTTCAGGTAGCTGGTGCAGGAGTATTTCTTAACCACGTCCTGGGCATATTCCAGGGTGAGTTTGAGCTCGTATAGGCCATTCTCCACAGGAGCAAGCTTTTGCCCCAGTCCCTTCACCTTAACTGCTCTCACCAGCTCTTCCAAGGCTTTTATGCGCTGGGCCAAACGCTGACAGCGCTTCTTATTGGCTTTCACTTCACCACATAGAGAGTAAAGCTTCTCCGCTATGCCCAAGATGGGATCTATGATGTCCATGGCTGGAGAGAGAAGAGTGGATTAAGAAATGCATTAGACAAGGTTTTCCCAAAACATAGCTCTGAGAAAGTCCATCTACCGTAGCAGTATACTAACCTGTCGAACTGACCTTGTTGACAGAGCACCAAACTAGTTAAATAATCAATGTTGAACGCATCACATAACAGTCATACAAGTTCTAGAGATGTCTCTCTCACTTCAGTAAGACATTGTATGTCCAAATTGTGTGTGTGTGTGCGCACGCAGGGAAGACTTTGTTACCACCTGAAGACATAAATAATATCATCTGAAATGGGTACATCAGGTTCTGGTCATTTTTAACCATAGCTACTTATTTCCTAGAAGCTACTTTGGCACTGTGTAATGTCAGTTAATGTATTTCGAAAACTAGTCTGGTAGAGGAAGGGAAACTTGCTTATCCCTGATACACATCCGATGTGAGACTGTAATGTGCAGTTTTTAAGTTCTTGTGAAAGCTGAGGGAAGGTTATTTTATTTGGCCTTGATTTTTAAGTAATGTTCAGCTGAGCAATCAATGACAAATGAACAGCATTAGTTATGACAAACAATAAGGTCTGGTTTCCCGGACCTAGGTTAAGCCAAGTCCTGGACTACAATGCACTTTCAATTGGTATTCAACTGAGAACATTTCTGGTGATGGCATGTATATGATGTAGCTACCCCTTTGTGTTGGTTGGCAACCCCTGTTTAGGATTATTCAAAGCAATAGCATCTGTGTTAGCCATTCCAAAATCACATAACTGTATAATTCTACAACCTAACCTGTTTTTCTATTGACTCTATGAGGTAACTGAAAAACAAGTGCTGACAAGGAAATAATTCCTAAGCAGCAGGAGTTCAATAGACCCCTTTACTCTGGAGAACCCAAGGGGGCCTACAGCTTTCCCCACTTGGGACCACAGCTGGCTCTATGTGAACTACTCTACTTTCACATAATAATAATAATAATAATAATAATAATAATAATAATAATAATAATAATAATAATATGCCATTTAGCAGACGCTTTTATCCAAAGCCACTTACAGTCATGCATGCATACATTTGCACACAGTCATGAAAGCCTACAGCTTTCCCCACTTGGGACCACAGCTGGCTCTATGTGAACTACTCTACTTTCACATAATAATAATAATAATATGCCATTTAGCAGACGCTTTTATCCAAAGCCACTTACAGTCATGCATGCATACATTTTTTTTGTTGTGTGTGTATGGGTAGTCCCGGGGATCGAACCCACTACCTTGGCGTTACAAGCGCCGTGCTCTACCAGCTGAGCTACAGGAGGACCACCCACATCTCATCAAAAATAATTTCACTAATGCAAAATATACACTTACTGTGCACTGTTTTAATAGGTTTTAACACAGTTGCAGCTGACAGTATTTTTCAGTTACAACCCATTTCTGGCATCCTTCCATTACACACAGGCGGAGCACGCTAGACAGTTAATTAGCACAGTTAATCATACAGGTTTGATTTCTGTATTTAGAAAGTTACATATCTTGAAAACTTGATGGCTGACAAGCTAAACATTTTTGGGACTATGTCAACAACGGACTAATGAAACAAATACCAAAATATAGTTTTTGGGTGGAATTTTCCTGTAAGTACCAAATGTTTCGAAAACGGTATTGCAGGCGAGGCGTACAGACGTTTAGATAGAGCATTTGTACAGCGTTGGGGCATTTCGCTCAGGCGGCAGACAGCTTCGTGAATAGACGGTATATGTTTATATGTTTGAATGGGCTATAGAGCCCCCATATCACTAATAGTGAGTCACATCGGTCGATTGGTTGCATTATTGAATGTTTCACACTTGCCAGCATATATAAATGACAATCACCAGTTCTCGCCTTTCAGAGGAGACAGACACTCTAGTGAGAACTTTTGATTAACGTTTTGAGCAAAAGGCATTGTTCTCAAAAGCAGGAAGTAGACTATAAGCCAAATCACACGCAACAAGCACTAGTTACTGTTCTCTGTTCAACCTAAAACCTATTGTACGTTTGAAATGAAAAATACCTTGAGAGACTGTTGCTATCGGTTCTGAGACTCTGACATCTGAAACAGAAAGGAGATCACACCCTTAGTGTGCACTGACACGGGTTTCTATGGAGCTCCTCCTACACAACTACCGCTCACAGCAGAGCTATGCACTTCCTCTGTTTATTTCAGTTCAGGTCTGCTTTTCTAATTTCTTTCAATAATAATTGCCCTGCTATAATATGGTCTGGCATTCATGCCTAGGTCTACTTGCTTAAACAAGGGACCCCAAATGACCCCCATAAAAAAAGACTGAACAGTCAGCAGGTATATAGTTGGTAGACTTGCAGCTAGCTAGCATACTGCGTTTTAATAATTGCTGTGTGATTTACTAGCTAAGTAGCTAGCTAGATATCCAGTGGTATTCAGTATGCTTTGAACATTAAATGAGCACTCAAAATTGTACGACTTTGTTGATTTTGGGAGGATTCAATTTAAAGAATGCTAATATATTTTCTTACATACTTTTTAGGTGGTTTGACACTTTATTCAGACAGTAATGAAATAAGATAGGCAAATGCTAGAAACAGTGGGAAGGTTGGAAGCAGGGATTGATCCCTGTTCTCAGGTGGAAAATTGTATGCGACGTGCCAGGGGAGTGTGCTCTGCACAGGGGAGTGTGCTCTGCACAGGAAATATTAATGGTTGATGGCAGTGGCTAACCAAATCATAGATTGCAGTGTCCTTGTCTATAGACTGCTTTCAAGGTTTGTATTTTGTCATTTGGGTGAACTATCTCTTTAAAATAGTACAGGAAGAAATCCTGCTTGCTCTCCTGGAGGGTTGGCCACCCCTGCTCTATGTTTCCAAAGTGCTAGGTGTTTGAAAATGTTCTTGTTATAACAATTAATGTCTCAAAATCACCAAACCTTCAAGAAAAATCTAATTAATATCAATACTCAGGTGGTTTATGCCTACTAGTTGAAGATCCTTGCCATCATCTTACTCTACAGACAAAATATGATGCGTTTATGAGTTGCCTAGCATGTGCACAATACTAAAATGGCAAAAATTATATTTGATTCCTGTAGCATTTAATATTCTATGCTTATTTGTATGACTTATTCAAAACTCCATGAATGACTGCAAAAATACATCGCCTGAAATAATTCATTTTCAAGTAGGCATATGAGATTTCAAATATGTGATTACACTGGCAAAATTGGGAAGAAGAGGAATAATAAAATAAGTGTGGGGAATAAAGGTAGTGTTCTTGCTGACAAGCACAGTAATTACCCTATATTTTAGGCCATTGTTAAGAATGAGAATTGTTCCACTGATCAGACTAAATAAAGCAAATACAGTGCCTTGCAAAAGTATTCATCCCCCTCTGCTTTTTTCCTATTTTGTTGCATTACAACCTGTAATTTAATTTTTATTTGGATTTCATGTAATGGACATTCACAAAATAGTCCAAACTGGTGAAGTGAAATGAAAAAAATTACTTGTTTCAAAATATTTGAAAAATATAAATAACGGAAAAGTGGTACGCGCATATGTAGTCACATCCTTTGCTATGAAGCCTCTAAATAAGATCTGGTGCAACCAATTACCTTCAGAAGTCACATAATTAGTTAAATAAAGTCACCTGTGTGCAATCTAAGTGTCACATGATCTGTCACTTGATCTCAGTATATATACACCTGTTCTGAAAGGCCCCAGAGTCTGTAACACCACTAAGCAATGGGCACCACCAAGCAAGTGGCACCATAAAGACCAAGGAGCTCTCCAAACAGGTCAGGGACAAAGTTGTGGAGAAGTACAGATCAGGGTTGGGTTATAAAAAAATATCCCAAACTTTGAACATCCCACGGAGCACCATTAAATCCATTATTTAAAAATGGAAATAATATGGCACAACAAAACTGCCAAGAGAGGGCCGCCCACCAAAACTCACGGACCAGGCAAGGAGGGCATTAATCAGAGAGGCAACAAAGAGACCAAAGATAACCCTGAAGGAGCTGCAAAGCTCCACATCGGAGATTGGAGTATCTGTCCATAGGACCACTTTAAGCCGTACACTCCACAGAGCTGGGCTTTACAGAAGAGTGGCCAGAAAAAAGCCATTGCTTTTAGAAAAAAATAAGCAAACACGTTTGGTGTTCGCCAAAAGCCATGTGGGAGACTCCCCAAACATATGGAAGAATGTACTCTGGTCAGATGAGACTAAAATTGAGCTTTTTGGCCAACAAGGAAAACACTATTTCTGGCGCAAACCCAACCCCTCTCATCACCTCGAGAACACCATCCCCACAGTGAAGCATGGTGGTGGCAGCATCATGGTGTGGGGATGTTTTTCATCGGCAGGGACTGGGAAACTGGTCAGAATTGAAGGAATGATGGATGGTGCTAAATACAGGGAAATTCTTGAGGGAAACCTGTTTCAGTCTTCCAGAGATTTGAGACTGGGACGGAGGTTCACCTTCCAGCAGGACAATGACCCTAAGCATATTGCTAAAGCAACACTCGAGTGGTTTAAGGGGAAACATTTAAATGTCTTGGAATGGCCTAGTCAAAGCCCAGACCTCAATCCAATTGAGAATCTGTGGTATTACTTAAAGATTGCTGTACACCAGCGGAACCCATCCAACTTGAAGGAGCTGGAGCTGTTTCGCCTTGAAGAATGGGCAAAAATCTCAGTGGCTAGATGTGCCAAGCTTATCAAGACATACCCCAAGAGACTTGCAGCTGTAATTGCTGCAAAAAGTGGCTCTACAAAGTATTGACTTTGGGGGGGGTGAATAGTTATGCACGCTCAAGTTCTCTTATTTTGTCTTATTTTCCTATTATTTTGCATCTTCAAAGTGGTATGCATGTTGTGTAAATCAAATGATACAACCCCCAATTTTAATTCCAGGTTGTAAGGGAACAAAATAGGAAAAATGCCAAGGGGGGTGAATACTTTTGCAAGCCACTGTATATACTAAAATCTCCTGAAGACAATATGTCATAAATCTGCCCCTACACATTTTACATTTACATTTTAGTCATTTAGCAGACGCTCTTATCCAGAGCGACTTACAGGAGCAATTAGGGTTAAGTGCCTTGCTTAAGGGCACATCGACAGATTTTTCACCTAGTCGGCTCGGGGATTAGAACCAGCGACCTTTCGGTTACTGGCACAACGCTCTTACCCACTAAGCTACCTGCCGACTACACCCTAACCAAATAATTGTTCTATTCATTGTCCCCTCTCTAGAATCAAACATACACTTTTGGGTTCACAATCTGTTTGACAAGATTATTTTCATGGTTACAAATCAGGTCACCCTACCAAACTTCCCTGCTAAAACATACTGTAGGTCTGTCTGCTGCCTTTCGTTGTCACAGCCTAAATGCCAATCACCAAACGGGGAGGGGACTAATGCAAGTGTGGATTAAATCAGTTTTAGTACATGCTGTCAAAAGGCTGCATTCTGCAATAGGGACGGGAGTAAAAGCAACCAAAATTTGTTGACAACATTGTAAATAAAACACTATTTTACAGTTTTATAAACTCAGTGGAGAAAGTTCTCACTCTCCATTCAGCTCCACTCTTATTTTGAGGAGTGTTTCTTTAAAAAATGCATCCATCCAATCCCCTTCATCACTTACATAACTAGACCAATCATATGCTTCAATGTGCCGCGGTTCACAGCGCTGTGGCAAGACAGGACAATGATAGAGGTTCCGCTCGTGATGTTAAATTGCAGGCGCAGATGCTCCGATTTTAAAACAATTTGGAGCACTGTTGAAAAGTTAACGCGAATTACTAAAATAAAATCAGTACTTTTCAATGCGTGAGATATAAGAGGTGTGCCATGAGAGTGTGAGAAGAGGATCAAATACGTGTCTCACGACCAATGCGTGAAAGTTGGCAGCTCTTGACTTAAGGATCAAAAGTAAAAGTATATATCATTTCAAATTCCTTACAGTAAACTAAGAAAACCAGAAGGCACAATGTTCTTGTTTTTTGAATGTATGGATAGTCAGGGCATAGTCGCGGGACATGGGGGGTGCTGCAGCACCCCCTGAAAAATCGGAATAAAAAATAAAATAAATTCACTAAAGTAGTGCACTGGGCCTTTACTAGTATTAGCAGACCGATATATATATCTGTAGCACAGGCAAAAAAAAGGTAGTTGTATAATTAAGAAAAGTGTCTTGCAGGATTCAATAGTCGGAATTGTAAGAGTTGTTGCCCCATTCCTTTCTCTGTGATTATCATTCTAAAGGAATCCAGAAATAACAAAACCCTGCCCTCAAACATTTACACCAAAAGGTGCAAAGTTATGGGCAAAGACACAAAACATATACATCAAATTAAATATTTTTCTTGATCAAATAACATGGAAAACAAACACTTTTTGTGCAGTATTAATTTACCATCTTTACAAACCACTTAATGTAAATTACTGTATTGCACATAGGCTGGTCATCTAGGTTTGTACCTGTAGACCAGGGGTCTCCAACCCAGTTCATGGAGAGCTACCCTCCTGTAGGTTTTCTCTCCAACCCCAGTTGTAACTAACCTGGTTCAGCTTATCAACCAGCTAATTATTAGAACAGATGTGCTAGATTAGGTTTGGAGTGAAAACCTACAGGACAATAGCTCTCCAGGAACAGGGTTGGAGAGCCCTGCTGTAGACTTTCCATCACCATGAAGAAAAACCATGCACAATACAGTAATTGATTACATTGAGACAACAAGTGGTTTGTGATGATGTGGTTCAGTTGGTAGCGCATGCACTTGCAATGCTAGGGTTGTGGGTTCAATTTCCACGGGAGACCAGTACGAAAAAGTAGGAAATTGTTTGCACTCACTACTGTAAGTTGCTCTGGATAAGATTGTGTACTAAAAGGAATGAACAGACCATTTCAGTTTTCACATGGAAATAAGTTCCATTTGCAAAGTATTTCAAGAAACTGGAAAACATATCAAGTATTTTTATATTCCACAAGTGTAATATATGGAGCTATACACCTTTAATGAGTCCATAACACCCTTATGTTTAACAGCCAATCAGTATCACTCGAGGTTGAAGGTCAAGGGGATATGTAAATGAGCGGTCTTG